AGCCATGCTGTTTGCACTCATTTCTGAAGGCGCTCCAACAATAATGTTTTCATTTAGGATTTTTGGAGATATGATGCATGCTGAAATGTTTTGTGTAGGAAATAACCCATTCTATCGATTCATTCCCCTCTTCCAATTGCCCTTATCCATCCACACACTTTCGGAGGCCTGTCTCCAGAGGGGCTGTCAGCAATGAATCAGACGAAGTATTTATAAGGCTACGGGACATTTAGAACATGTGTGCCCCTTTTAAAGCAATCAACACCCTGACGTGTGCTCTCAAAACTCACAACGTGCCTTCTCCAGTCGACATCCATTCGGAACTGGTTTCTTCTGATGTGTGCTGATCTAGAATGATCTGATCAGATCTGATATTTTCCTCCATATTTTCTTTAGTTTTCTGAACTTCCCGTTCTTGATTATGTCCAGGAAACCCAGAATCTCCACCATTAGCAAGTCAACATTAAAAACGTAGGCCTGCTTTCTCCAAAGATGCTGTCAATTTCAATGGCTACTAGACCTCTGAAGTCGTGTCGTCATTCTGTAGTCAGTGTTTTGCCCACATTAGAAGCTCTAAAGGGTCTAAGCTTGTTTTCTTTACAGGAGAAATTAAAGGAATTTTGCGAGAAAATCGTTGCACCCTGTGGTGAACAAAATGTTCCAAAGCTGACACATTTTGCCGTACAGTCACAATTGCGCTGCCACCATTTTGGTAGGTAAAGTTCATTCAGCAGTGCTGTGGCAGTTTGTAGTGAGATAACAAAGCCAAGACCGATCCAGCAAAGGCAGTAAAACACATTTGTTCTTAAAACACTTTTTTAAGTCACATTTTTAAAGCATATTAATGTATATTTTTCAGTATGTTGCCCTGATTGAACTCGATTTGTTGCTGTATTGATAACAAAAGTATGCTAAATTCCACAAACTAGCCCACTTCATAGTATGCAAAAAAAAAAGCACATATACCTTTAGAAGGGCACTCATTAGTGTAGTACGTAAAGTGCAGAAGTGTGTGGTTTGGGACGCATGCTCAGGTCAGCTGATGAGACACATTCAACAGGTCCAGTGGCTGATTCGCTTCGCTGTGCTGGTCATTTGCTGCTCAGTAAACATTGCCAAGTGAAAGATTGAGGTATTTATTGACTAAAGATGCATTTATTGAGGTGAGCTGATGTCAGCTGTATATTTGCCAACTTTCGCAATTCGTTCTACGTGTAAATACAATGAGAAGCTGACTTGAGCCTTATAGATGTGTATGAGTTTATTGGTTAAGAACTTTGGCAGCTTTGTTAGCCACTTTTATTAGTTTCTGTCAAATCTCACGTGCTGGAATGTACTGAACGCACTGGAATGTTATATGGATCCAGTCAACCGCTAATTTTCTCCTCGTACCATTTTCTGGAGGCTGCATCTAAAGCATCCACATATCTTTTCATCTTTTTCGAGGTCATTCTGGTCTATTTTGCTTGGTTTTTATCCAGCCGCAGGGCTGTATCTGCAGTAAAGGTGAGTTACAGCTCACCTACCAACATGGCAACATGGTCTTCTTAATGACACAATCGAATACTATGAATTGCTACAAGCGTGCTAATTCTTCTGCGCACTGAATTGACATTGCAAGACGGATCTCACCAAAATACCCCAAGTAAAGCAGTAAGCTCTGTCAAATGTGGTAGTTTAGAGGCTTTGGTTACTTTAGGCTGAGTAGCTGGTATTGGTGTATATCAGTGCTGAAGGTCAATCGTAGATTCACTTTTTAATGTAATGTCATTTCAATGCGCAGCGGTATTAGCTTGCTTGTAGCATGTGTGTAGCATCATTAGTATTTTGTCTGCTAAATGACCTTCAGAGAATCCAGTGACAATCAGTGGACAAATGTACGTAGGACAAAACAATTTTTTTTTATTTACCACAGTTACAATTTTTGAAAATGCAATTCATTTTCTCCATAGACTAACAGACAAATCCTTTAGACAAATCCTATGACTAAGACTTTATTCTAGCTAATCAGACTATGCTAGCTAAACTAAAGCTTCCAGCCATTGTTAGCCATTGTTACCATCTTTTAATGCCAGTCAGAATGGCTTATATGAAGGCAAACACCCATAAAATTAAATAAATAAATGCGGGCCTAATAAAAGTAAAGTATAACTTAAAAATAAATTACACTAGGCTTGGATCTTTCTGCAGTCAAGTGGTCAGGGCATTTCCAGACCACTAACCCAGAATCAACAGAACTGCCAAGGCACAATTAAGTCTTTTCTCACAGAGCTTTGTCTAAAGCGATTATATTGGTAGTCTTTTGGGATCCACAGAAAATGAATGACCATAAAATGCTCTTCAGAAACTCAATGACCAGTTTTATAGTGCAAGCATTCAGGTCAATATAAGGCATGGAATTTGAACTGCTAAGCCACATCAGAACCATTTCATGAGAAAAGGATGACAATAAGGTTGGTGCCATTAACCACAGCAGTATTACGTCCAGCTTGAAATGAGCAGTCCTTTTTCAATGTTCTCTTCTTTAGTTTGACCCAGGATTACTTTGGCTTGGGTCATAGCAAAGAAAATCCCAGCTATTCCAGTTATTCTCTGGGAAGAAGAAAAAGCAGGAATGATAGCCAGTGGCCAGCGTGGCTACTTTTCTGTGACTCTCACCTCTGAAAGTTACAGGCCAGATGGAGAACTCTGGCTTGAGAAGAACATTCGTGGCACAGGCCAGTAACATGATCTGCTGCAGCAGAGGAATAACAGGGCCATGGAATCTGCAAGCGTTCACTGGAAGCTGCATCAAGACACAAAATGTTCCCAGTGGTGGTGTTTAACAACATTTCCCAATTTTTAATCTCACGGGACAGATCATGTGGAAATGGTGTAAAGCCCAAAGCTGGCATGGATTTGTCTGGACACCCCCCCTCTCCTCCACCTTCCCTCTCTCTCCGGGTGTGTTTTCAGTTACTTGGGAATTTTGCAGTGGCTTTGCTGGGAAGTGCTCAGTCATATCTGCCTATGGTCGGAAGGAAGCTGTATCATTATAGGATTAATGAGATGTGGATGCCAGGTACTCATCTCTCTCTCTCTCTCTCTTTCCCCCTAGCATTTCTGCATGCCTTTTTTAATGTGTGCAGCTCAAGGCGAACTGGTGCCATGAGAAAAGAGCATGAGGCATAACTCTCACAATGAAAACCAGAGACTAAAACTGAGTCCATACATTGAGTTTAAACTTCAAAAACAGCCCATTTGCACTTCCACATATCCACACATTCAGCCTACAGCACTTTGGCCCCACCCACTTAACTCATATGGAAGTTATAAGGAGTGTTGTAGCCTAGACTGCTTCTGAATGAGGCTGGGGCAGCCAATCAGAGCCGAGGTCATTCACAAAACATCTGTTAAAGTCAAAACATATCGGTCCATATATGGAAACCAGGCTCCAAAATGGGCCCATTTGGAATTTACTGTTTTTATGACCTCATAATAAACAACCCATTTCCATACATTAACCTTTTCAGCCTTCAGCAGTTTAGCTCCGCCCACTCAATTCATGCTGAGGTTCTAAGGAGTGTTGCACCCCAGACTGGTTCCAAATGAGGCACAATACAAGGCAGCCAATCAGAAAAGAGGACATTTATGTCATATACGTTTCAAAACACCATTTACTCCTAATACCATACAGTCATATATGTAACCTAGGCTCCAAAATCAGCCCATTTTGAATTCACTGTTTTTGTGATGTCACAAAAACCCAATGCACTTAAACATATCCTTCTATTAAGCCTACAGCAGTTTAGCCCCACCCACTTAACTCATTTTGAAGTTGTAAGGAGTGTTGCTATCCAGACTGGTTCCAAATGAGGCGCAATACGATGCCAATGAGAACATATATGTAAACATCATTGACATATATTAGTCTTAAAGTAACAAACACAGCCTGTTTACAGTTAAGACGAATATAGAGAGTGAAAAAATGGTCTTTTGATTCATGAGAGGAAAAATTAATGTAAGATGAAAGGTTTAAGATTAAAAACTGAATAATATGCCAGTAGTTTAAGCTCTTAAGCCTCTCATGGAAATGCTTATTGCTCAGTACATGGTTCAAAGTGAGGAATGGAAGTGTGGATGGATCTATGTAGGGTAAGGGGTAAGAGGTCAGCTTGTGCACAAAAAGAAAAAAAAATAATAATAATTGGTTAAAAAGAAACAAACGGGAAAGTACCCATGAAATCAATAGTGTTTCTATTGGAGGCAGATTCTGTAGAGCAAAGAAAACTCTACTGTTATACCTTCAGAGAATGTCCCATCATTTTAATGCCCTCTTTTCATCCTCTATGTCCAGGTAAGGAGGGATGCTAGGCACTGGACAGTGAAGACCACAGCATGCATGAATACACTGCACTGTTTTATGTGGAGAGAATGCAGTAAGAACTGAGCTCTTGTTCAAAGCATGAGGTGTTCATCAAAGGCTGAAGAAGGAGAGAAGTTGGAAACTATGCACTCAGCAGACACACACACATATGAGCATCATCGTCCGGCCTCACCACACCCCCTCACACACACACACACACACACACACACACACACACACACACACACACACACACAGAGTAAGATATATCACACAGCTTTCCACTGATTACATAAAGTAAATACATGCCCACAATGCATGCATAAGAATCAATACCATGTGCATTTGTATGAAACTGCTCAGTTCATTATTATTTAAGCACATAATGTATATTATTATGATTTGCAGTGTTAAAGTAATATGCAAGCATGCACCAGCCCTCAAAGCAAACAATCTCAATCCTCAGATTTTTTCAAACCACCTCGAAAACTGAGCTCCTCATACTTTCCAATGGACATTAACCACAAACCTGTCTAATCAAGTCCCCCTCCTGCCAAACGACTCTACGCTCTGATCTTCCGAAGCCGTTTTCTCTAAGTCTGGTAGACTCACTGGGGCTGAGGGGTCAAGGAGGTGAGTGTGAAGCGGCTCCTACCTGTGCCGATCTTGCAGAAAGTGGAGGAGAAGAGGACGTTCGGCCACAAATCCAGACAGAGTGATGGAAGTGGAGCTGCAGCGCAGGCAGGCCAAGAGCCGAGCACTGTGTGAACGCTCGCAGCCAAAGAGCAGGCAGGTGTGCTGTGGAGCCGGGGAGGAGGGGACGAGAGAGGAGCAGCCAGACAGAGAGAGAGAGAGAGAGAGAAAGAGAGAGAGAGAGCAGAGGGAGGGAGGGAGAGGGTGAAAGAAAGAGAGGGAGGGGTTGGGTTGTGAGTTTGAATCCCTCTCGAATTAGATAATTGGTGGAGAACTTCCCCCTGCATGCAGCTGAAAGAGGAGGAAAAGGGAACAGTCGAACGAGGGGAAAAAAGGAGTAGTAAGAAGGAGGAATGGGCTGAGATTTAGAGCAGAGAGAATGAGAAAAAGATAGAAGAGAGAGAAAGAGAGAGAAAGAGAAAGAGAGAGAGAGAGAGAGAGAGAGAGAGAGAGAGAGAGAGAGGCTAAAGGCTGCAGTCAATGAAGAGCGGCTGCACTGGCCATCTTTCAAACTGTGTCATCTGGTAATGATAGGACTACAGCACAGCATGTAGACCAGTCTCTCTTTCTTTCTTTCTTTCTTTCTTTCTTACACTTTCAGAATTAGCAACTTCAGCATTTGTGGGCAAAGTTATGAAACTAAGCACTGTCTCTCTTCTTGTTCATTTCTTCTTTCTTTTTTCTCTATTCTTTCTTTCTTTTCCTCTCTTTTCTTTATGTGTTTCTTTCTTTCTTTTTCTTTATGTTACTTATGTTTTTCTCTCTTTTTGTTCTGTTTTTTCACTTTCTTTTGAAGTATGAGAATACTTCACTCTGCTTCTTTCTTTCTTTCTTTCTTTCTTTCTTTCTTTCTTTCTTTCATAATTAGCAACTTTAGCATTTTTGGGTGAAATAATGAAATACAGCACTTTCTCTCTTCTTGTTCTTCCTTCCTTTCTTCATTTCTTTCTTGCTTGCTTTCTTTCCTTATTTCTCTCTTTTCTTTCTGTCTTTCTTGCTTGCTTTCTTTCCTTATTTCTTTCTTTACTTTTTTTCTTTCTTGGTCTTTCCTTATTTCTCTCTCTTTCCTTCCTTTCTTTCTTTCTTTCTTTCTTTCTTTCTTGCTTTCTTGCTCTCTTTGCTCATTTCTCTTTTTTTCTTTCTTTCTTTCTTTCTTTCTTTCTTTCTTTCTTTATCTCTCTCTCTGTGTAGTGGAAACATTCTCCTTACTACCCGCTTTGCTTTTGTCAGTCATTCAGTGAACCATACACACACACACACACACACACATAAGCAGAGGTACAGAGGGAGAGAGAGAGAGGGAAAGAGAGAGAGAGAGAGAGACAGAGAGAGAGATGGTGAGAGAGAGAGAGAGAGAGAGAGAGAGAGAGAGAGAGAGAGAGAAAGACAAAAAGAGAGGGAGAGAGAGAGAAAAAGAGAGACAGAGACAGAGAGAGACAGAGAAAGAGATGGAGGGAGAGAGAGAGAGAAAGAGAGAACAAGAGAGAGGGGGGAGAGAGATCTTTATTAGAGCAGTTTGTTTGCTGTGAGGAGCTCGGCTCGGGGAGCTATTCGATGTGGAAATGGGGTGACTGGAGATGGAGGGGGAGGAACTGGCTTTAACTCAAAACTAGTTACCAAAGCCATGGCCTACATTCAAACTACGACAGCCCTCTCTTCCTCTCTTTCCCCCTCGCTCTCTCTCTCTTTCTTTTCTTTCGCTGTGCTTTGTTTTTGTACCCAGATTGAGAGATTAGGACAATGGGTTTAATTCAATCCTCTTAAAGTATCCCTGAGCTTTGAAGCAGTGAGTGTTGCTCATTTGAACATTGTAGTTTGTTTCAGAAATCTGACCAGCTCAGCCACCATCATACTGTCCTCAGTCTGAACATTTAAGACCTTCTGAGTATGTGGCCCCATATGACCCTACAGCCTTCGGCCTACTTTAATCCTTTAAATGCTCAGGAGTGGCCGCTCCTCACTCACACAGCTCGGCCAGTTTGCAGTGTTTTGAAAATCAGCTCAACTCAAAGTACAAAGCTTGTCTAGAGTTAACTAACTCAGTGTAAAAACTCTAGAGTTCACTCAACTCGAACTTTTTAGTTTGGTCAAAAAACTCCCATTATACACACTTAGAAAGAAAGTTCGGTAACACTTTATATGAATGTCACCTTTGTAAGCATCTATAAACACATTCATAACATAAGGCATTATAAACATAGCTATAAATATTTATAAAAATGCATTACACATTATAGCCATGTTTATTATGCATTATGAATTGTTTACATAATACATTATAAGTACCGTTCATAACAAATTATAAAAGCTCATAAGTTGTATTTGTCCGCTCTAAGTAAAGTGAAGCGTACTGTACTAAAGCCTCCTCCAGTGTTAAGAGTGAGGCTTCAAGTTGAAGTATTTACTGAAGGATTTACTGAAACACTTAAACATACACAATAAAGCACATTACAGGCTTCAAATGTCAGAGTTTAAACTAGAGCTGCCATCAGTGTTTTACCCAATGTGGGAAAGGTAATGTACACCACCGTTAGCTTGGTATTTGTCTTTACTTTACGCTCTCCAAGCTGGGACTGACTTCTTCGGCACTGACATTATAACATGTTATGAACACTACTTATAATGCATTATATTAACAATTCATAATGTATAATAAACATGGCTATAAAGTGTAATTCAGTGTAATTCTTTTTTATAAATATTTATAGCCATGTTTATAATGCCTTATGAGTACATTATAACATGTTATAAATGTGTTTATAGATGCTTACAAAGGTGACATTCATAGAAAGTGTTACCGAAAGTTCTTCAAGCGTTCTTTACCCACTTATTACTGACCTGTGAAGGTCAACTGGAGAATTAGAACATATGTTGGGATTCAATACATTTATTTTGGTCCATTCATCATGTTTTTTTGCAATTTTCTCCCCAATTTAATCGTATCCAATTCCACTCACTAGTTACCACTCACCCAATCACACGACACCACCAGTGCTAGGAGGATGAAGGCAAACACAAGCGCCTTCTGAGTCATGTGATCTTTTCAAACCGCTTTCAAACTGCCGCCAACACAACATCATTGGACAGCTGAACACGCTTGGAGGAGAACACTAACCAGCAGTTATGTTACGTCAGCGAACAGACACATGCACTGGCTAGCATAGCGCTGAATAACGCTTTGGTGGTTGTGCCACTCAGAAACCAATTTTAACCAAGCTTTAAGTCCTTAGTAGTGCCAAACCTAATCACAAACATGGTCAATTCAATGTATAGTTGGTTCCTAAATAACTGCCAAGATGAACTAATTCTAAACCTGATGTGCCAGCAAACAAACTCAACACTGTAATGAACATGAGGAAAATAATTAGAGTAAAAAGAATAATTTGGTGAGGGAAGTTGAGTTCAGCAGAGAGGAGCCCACAAATGAACTTGACATAATAGAAAGTGCATTAATATTCCATAGTGTACAGGAAGGAACATCACAATACATTAGAGACAACTGCGCAGAATACTTTCTCCAGCTCTGGAACAGTTCCTTGGAGTTCCTTACAGTGAGACGCCTGCAGAAGCTGTCGTCTGGCCTGCAGGAGCGCACTGTGGTAAACTGCCTCAATCCAAAACCACAAGGTCAAAGGTTCAGAGTCTTTATGCAGATTAAATGTCAGAGATCTGTTGGTTTATTGCAGCCTCTCCATTGTACACTTACAATGAAAGTGTTTGAGGTGCTGGGAATCACTTAATAAAAAGAAAACCACACATTCAATCGTGACACGGTTATTTTCCCTGGCTGTGATGAAAAGAAACATTCCTAACTTTTTATGTTCATAAACATCCAAGCAGAAGCCACAGTGATAGAAGTGTATATATAGTGTGCTGTATGGTGGTGCTGAAACATTTAAACTGATTGAGCAAAATGAATCATGGCTCAATCACTCAAAAAAGTAATCCATTACAACTGACTACTTACTTTACTGATTAGTTTGTAGGAAAAGTAATCTCACCACTCATTACTTTACTTCTGTGTTACTCTAGTTGTGATCACTTAACACAGGCAGGTTGTTTGTAGTGTCTTGTTGAACATTCAAGCTTACTAATTTTTCTGAGATGAGCAAACTTAAAAAGACAAGCAATAAGAGAGTACAGGGTGGTGCCACCCAGAATTCCTTGCATGTTAGTTGATTTCTGTTTATTAGCTTTTATTTTTCTGTTCAGTTTTCAAACAGTTTCCTGTCTTCTACCCAGTGACTGCTGGGATAGGCTCCAGCACCCCCATGACCCAGGAGGATAAGCGGCTTAGATAATGTGTGTGCGTTCGTTCACATATGTTAAATACAAGTTGTGATGCACTTGTACATGTTTCATTTACCCTAACCATGGTTGTGTTTAGTGTCTCTGATTGGCAGTCAGCCCTAAAAGTATGTAACTCTGAAAACTCTTAATGAAAGAGTTTTCTTTTACCTCGCAGCTTGTGGTCATCATAATTATATCAGTGTTATGAAAATTAATAAATAAAATAATGTAGTACTTACTGGAACTTAAAAGATTAAGCTTCTGTAACAGTACAGTTCACATGATGTGTACTTGTACTTTGTTAAACTTAAAAGCTTGCAATGTATAATGTACTCAATGTATAATTTCAAACAGCTAAAACAGTTTCAAAACTTCATTCATTTGAGGCAACAAGTTACTTCAAATGAGTAAGTTTAAGTAAGTTGAACTAATCAGGGTTTACAGCATGAGTGTAATGTCACACCAAGAGTCTTGCAGATTAGGTTATGCTGGGCTTTACTTTAACCTCTTATTCTCCAGGGTATATTTTGGTTTTTCCATCTGAATTTACGTGACCAAATCTTACATTTATTCAGTAACTGCATGAAATAAATTTTTATTTTATTTATTTATTTATCTTTTGTAAAAGCTCCCATCAAATTAACAGAACATGTGTTTTATGATCACACATATTGCTATATGCTTACAATTTACTGCTGAAAGCCAAACATCTTAGACGCTCTTTGTATTATTTTATAAAAATAATGTTTACAGAGCAGATCACTGAAGAGACGCCATCTGTTTATAGTGTATAGCGCAGATTTGTGAAAAAATGGGTCGACTTTCAGTAGAAAAAAAAATTGTGAGTTAAACT